CTCCTGGGGGTTAGTTGTCTTTTTTTGCCTTTTATCCAATACCATCTTGTTATTTTAAGACAGTTGTCAGCATCTTTGGTCAGAGTTAATGATCAATTTGTTTTTAATCCATATTTGTCAATTGTGGGGTATGGTTCTCACACTACTATACATCACACACTTGTGACTCACACATGATCATCTCATGGAGAGATACCTGGTACTGTATCTCTCCTAGAACTGTTAGGTCTTGTCGACTGTCAAGCATCTTCTGATAGATTATCCTGTTTAACAAATTACCTGATGTTGTCACCCTTGCTGCCCTCCTTTCAATGCAGACACACATACCACTATGACTACTGAACTATGTTGCATATGAGCTCACCCTTTAATATTACTGTCCTCTGACATAAGTACTCCTTCATCACATAGTGTTAACCCTTAAACTGTCCAAGCAGATCTACGTTCACATGCGTAGTGCTCCAAAAGTAGATCTACGTTTTTTTTACATATTTTCAAATATAACAAAAAAAAAAAAACAAGTAGATCAAAGTTTTTTACACGTTTTCAAATGTAAAAAAAAAAAAAAAGATTTACTTTTTTTACATACTTTCAAATGTTGAAAAAATGTAGATCTACGTTTGGATAGTTTAAGGGTTAAATGACTTGTACACGTTCAGTGCCTTTATATCCTATTGGCAAATGAGGTCATAATTATGCTTTCAGCCTTTCCTTGTAACTCATATTTTAAAGCTCATCTTTGGACATTTCTTGCTTGTCCATATAACTTTTAACTGCATATGGCAGTTTTAATCTAACGTATTGGTAGCATTTTTTCTTTTTTAATGATGCTTCCTAAATGTGTTAATACATGTATGTACCAGTCATTACAGTGAGGAATTTGGCTGGTAATTTATTTACCATTCCAGTCCTACAAGTCACTCTGTTATTTTATAGTTGAACTTTCCATTGTAAATATTTTTTTTTAGACGTTTCAATCACTTTTTATTATTAGTTCCTTTACTATATTATGCAGTCTTCATATACTTAGTTAAATTCTTCTCTTCCCATGTTTTGTTGAACAACGGATTTTACATATTTGCAAATCTAAATTCTTCATCTTAGTTTTGAATTTCTGTGACTAAAATTTTGGCATTTGTGTTTTGTATGTTAATTTCTGTAGCTTGTAGTTTTTCTTTTTTTGGCGACATTATGAAACCTCACTCTCTTCCTACACTCGTGGCTTGAAATTAAGTAATTAACTCAAAAACTACCTCATTTAGAATACTGAGTAGGGTTTTCTATAGTTGATCACAGTAGGGCTGATGCATGTATTATTTACATATAATGTTCATGAAATCTTAAACATGTTTATATAAAATCTTGAAAATTATATTGCTCTCTTAATTCTCTTCCTTTTCTCATTTGTTTCAACTTGGTTTCTGTCTAACTTCTTTTCTGTGTAGTAGTAGTGCTTGATAGGAAAATTCAATCCTTCCTGAAATACTGTGGGCCTCTTGCAAAATCCATATCTCATGTACACTTATGATAAATTATTATTATTGTCAGTAATTTTATGAACATCATTATTATTATTATTAATTTTAACATTATTATTATTATTATTTTTATACATTTTCTTTTCCTCTCATTATTTAGCTTTTTTATGAGTTATTATATTCAAATATTTTTACTCTTTCTTCTTCCTATAGGTCTTGTCTGAGATGTCACTCTAGTCTTCCAGTTTTTGCCTTAACACTATCATTAAGGAATTCTTTTTTTTCATTTGAGTAAAGGCTAGCAAAACTGGACTGTTCCTGTAATTCTTGTATTTTGCTGATTGTCTGTTTATTCTCCTATGCAATTTACTCTGGTTGAACAGGCAGTCAAGAAGGAAGCCTGGCCTCAGGTGCTCTTTGAAGGTGTTGCCTGGAACCTGAATGAATGATTATTCTAAGAGCAGATTTCTGCTAAGTATTAACTTGTTTCAGGTGATATGTTATTGTTGACCCCCATGCACAAACACCATAAGTGAGATAGAGATCAATTAGAGAATAGTAAGTACAGAGTGAGCAAGTATGTTTGGGGGTACATAATTGCATATTTTTGTGAGAATGCCTTCTGTTTTGAAATTTTATTAAAAATTTTCTGGATGCATATATGATAGCTTTCTCGTGTTTACATTTTAGATTTGTGAAGTGGTTTGTTGTGAGAGACACAAAGTTGGTTTAATTGTTTATAGGGGTGTGTGTTGTCATGGCAGTCCCTCTCTTGCCCTCCAGGAATTGCTGGACACTGTGGTTGTGGTAGCACAACTTCTGAAACTGACACATGATGCTGCATTGGCAAAATATCAACTGCAAGTTGTGTTCTGCCAAGATCAATATTGATCAATTTTTCCAATAAGTATATAAGCCACACACAAATGCATAAAATGAACATGGATATAGCAAATAAAGAGGTTTCATTGTACACTATATTTGGTGTGTGTTTGTAAATGTATTTTTTATTTACCTTGTGCAATTTTGAAAAGTTTACAGAAGTGATCATCATTTATTAACTTAAAAATTTCTAAGAAGTTGGCATTGGGAACCTGAGAAACAGACAGCATGTTAACTTTGACCTTAAATGCCTCAATATTATTATTTTATTATCATATCTTAACAAATAAGTTTTCATCAGTGACTTTAGCGGGGTAGTGCGTTTGGCGTTGTTTTTGGGAATTGTGAGATAGTTCTCAGATTATTTCCTGTACCTGTACTGTACTTGATTATTTAATTTAATTCCTATAACTTTTTCATTGCCATAATCTTATTGCTCTTTCTCAAGGCTTTTTTAATTTTTATTTCCTCATATCTAATATTTTCTTCTCTAATACATGTAGTGTGTGTTTTAGAAAGTTAAGAATGCTGAGACGTTTGCTAGAAATTTTAGTGAGGTCTGATTTCCAAATTTGCATGTTAAAAATTTCCCATAATAAATGAAATGATTATCACTGGTAACAATATCTTATTGTAATGACTTTGATACTATGAGTTCAGTGCTTTATCATCCAAATCATCTTGTGACACAACAGGGATGGGCAAGATGGTGCTACAATCACCAGGAATATAACTGTTTTATCATGATTATAGCATAAAATATATTGCGGGATTTGCAATTCTTGGATATCATTTATCATTGCTGCATTTTGGTATTTCAAAAGTATTATTTGTTGTGCAAGCAATTTCTCCTTAAAACTCTGGCTTGTAGCACTATTTCCATGCCCCTCACCATCCTCACATGGTTGTTGTGCCTCTACTGTCTATCATTTAATTTCCTTTGTAAGCTCTTAGTTCTTTTTTTTGTGACATTACGAGATTAAATTACTCCAAGAGAGTTTTTATTAATTTTCTCACTGTCCAGTTGCCATCATGTTAAAAGTAAAACCTTCAACAAATTTTGATTCTCTGTATTAAATCCAAACTCAAGCAATTGGTCAGTGGTATTGAAGGAGTTAGTAGTTTCCAATTAGAACTTTGTTTTAAATAATGATATGTACAGAGGACTCTACAACAACCACTTGATGGAAACCTGTCATATCATATGTTGAGGCTGTGGAAAATGGGCATTCACAGTTGTGTACACTACACACTACTACTGTAGCACATTTATACTTAAAAAATGTGCTGTTATTGTATATCAAGTGTAGAGTTCAAACAGATAATAAAATTTATATCACAAAATGTATGTTTTCAAAGAGTATCAAAAATTTTTTGGTAATAACATTTATTGATCAATATATGCAGCCATCACATCATATATATCAGTATCATTATCAAGTTAAGATTTCTAAAAAAAAAAAAAAATTATTCCTTATAGAATGTGTATGTATATGCAGCTGTGTATCACAAAATATTATTGTCTTCCATCTCCCTTTTTCACAGAAAATTGTTCTGTAATTATAATTATTTACAATATCTTAATTCACTACATTTTTGTGAAAAAACTTAAATAATCATGGCTCAGACAGTTATGTGAGTGAAAATAAAAGAGTATCATGCATTTATAAAGTTGTAGAACAATACATTGACTAAGCTATAACATTAGCTTATGTTGTGATGGTTTTTGACTATCAGAGAAAAGAGCACAAGAAACCCATGATGGTAAGCACATGTTACTGCATGTTGACCAACATCCTCTTCAAGGAGAACCAGTTAATTTGCCTGCACCCACCTCTTATTTAATATGGCTGTAATTTTCCAGCAGCCTCAACCCCTCTCAGCACACTTGGGTGCAGCCACCAACCATTCTACTCTGGTGTTTCAACACCATCGACTTTTCCCCCCCTCACCCAGAGGTCACTTTGAGGACAAACATTACTTATCACCCAATATTTGAGGAGTTGGCTGCTGGTACCTGGTGTGATGGGTGCCCGTGTCATGGTCTGTGGCTTGGAGGGGTCACCATACAGCTACCGCACGTCATCTCACTTCTTGCTTCCTGCTGAAGAAATGTGCTACTTCCTCCAGGCCACAACCCATATATCACCTTTCATCTTTACACAGATGCGCTAGACGCATGGTTATCATTACAGCAGTTATAACTGCATGTTAGGAATGTAATGATTATCAGAGCAGGAAATAGAAAAGAAAAATCATGCCTTACTATGTTACTAATAATAATATTTTTGCCTGAATCGAGTGTCATTTGAGCAAGTTGATGAGTTATCATAATATGCAGTAATATTCTAGAATGTACTGCAACTCTCAAACTAGTTGATATACTCATTTAGAAGTGCTAGAATACTTTTCTAAGTTTTATTGCTAATATATATCTTGTAATTATGAAGTTAAAAATGTTGATATTTCTGACCTGTGTTGCACTTTTGTTTTAACTCATATATGAGACTTACAAGTTTTTTGTTTGTGATTTTTTCTGAGTCATAAAAGACTTGTCAGAAATATCAATCTTGACAAGAGTTATTCCTAATATTGTATTATTTTTCTCCCTTCCTCCATCCTTCCTCTTCTGCATAACAGACACATAGTGGTGTGTGGCCATATCACCTACGAGTCTGTCAGCCATTTCCTGAAAGACTTTTTGCACGAAGACCGTGAAGATGTGGATGTAGAAGTTGTGTTTCTACACAGGTAAAGTATTTATAATGCTCCTGCCCAGTCATCTTCAGGGCACAAAGGATACATCCTAGGTCATTCAGGCATGTATTTTATCAGTGTTATGCCCCGCTGCCATCGCCAATTATTTTACAATTTATGCAATTTTGTTTGTCAGGCGATTACAGTAAGAAATTTTTCATCATACTTCTTACTCTTGGTAAAATACATTCAAGTTTGATTACCTTTAATTTTAATTCATGTGGTGAACATCAAAATATAAAAATGTTTTCTAAGAATGTACACTACATGCTTTTTATTAGTCAGAGTACAGTAATCCCTCGATTAATGCTTGGGTTCCATTCCTGAAAAATCAGCACTTAATATAATATCATGTGATGTAAAGTTAGGAACATGTTGGAAAAATAGGGTTACATTCCAGACACCTCCAAATCTGCCAAAAACTTGCCTTTTTTTAATACTTACTAATTTTTTTTTTTTTTTTTTACATCAATAGCTGTCTCCCACCAAGGCAGGGCAGACACCAATCCCCCCCCCCCCCCTCCAGAAAAAAAAAAAAAAAGATAATATTTTACTAGGTAAAAATTATTACTACAGTTTACCTTACATACTGTTAGTTGTTACATAAAGCATTTAAAGTGATGGGAAGGCTAACATGGGCATACAAGGCTGAGTTGAATGTAGCAAGGTTTATCAACTGACAGTGAATGTCAAAAAGTGAAAATAAAAATCACATTTCTTTACCAGATTGCACCAAATATTTAGGAACTAACCACACATATACCACAGACATATCCTAAAGATGAATATGTTTGGGAGGATATAGTAATAATGTAATAAAATAATGCAGGAGGTTGTGTTCATTTGATGTGACACAGGTATGTGTAATTATAATAATGTATAGTACTGAGTTACTAATCTTTTGGGTTAATAATCCATATATAGTCATTGTGTTCTTTTAATGAACTATTGAGGGCTGTTGATATTAGTTCACTGAACATTTTCTTCAGACTCTTTTTAATAGGGGTTTTATTTAAATTAAGAATTTGTAAGTTATATAAATTTTGGAAAATATTAGTTAGGTAAGAAAATACTGTCTTGTGACTTGATCGCACTTAACAAGAATGGTGGGAGGATGGGGTGGGACTGCTTATGGACCGATGAAGAGATTGTAAAAGTCTTCAGTGTGTGATACTGACTTTGCATGCACTGATTCCATGTTAATCGAAGGCTTACTGTACTATATATAGAAAAATTCATATTTCTTGTTTCGCTGTCATTTTATTCTCTATTAGTCTATTTATAAAGTAATACTATTATTGACACATATCCCCTTATTTTATTTTTGTGTGAACTGAAGCTATATTATTTTACTTACGTTACAAAAACTTATTCCAAAAAATATACTTTAATGGAGTACATAAGGTAATGTGGCAAATATGTGCCATCGTCTAATAAGTTTTCCTTAAAGCACAATAATATGTAGGAAGCATTGATGAGTGAAGTTTCTTTGGTGTGTTGTGTGTTATAACCTCACAACAAACATGGCTGTTCCCTGTGCATGGCACTACACATAGCCAAAATGCCATCTGTGTTATTTGTTATTAATGAATGACATTTAACACACTATCAGAGAATCTAATTTTTTTTTTAATGAACGAAAACGTCATCAATCATATACTGTTTGGGTTTGATTCTGCAAGGCATTAAAAGTTTAGTTTTAAAGCATACTGAACATATTTCACTACCTTATGAAATTTGTTGTAGCCTATAAAAGTCTGAAAATCTATAATTATATTACATATCTTTATTGCTGTTGTATTTTGTGAACTATTACTGGAAACGTAAAATATTCCTCGTATTTTTCATGGAATTTTCACCGGTAAAACAAATGTCCTAAATAAGTAAAATCATGCAACCCATGATTTTAAGTTATATAAATCCACATTATTCCTAAAACAATATAATTCATTAAATACCAAGCATATGTATTTTTATGTACAGTATATTGTATATGTGTTGTATATATGTGCATATATCATTTATATACAGGGTGTTTCCAGAGTCACACAACTCAGTATTAAGAAACTTTTATGTAACTGAAATGCAGTATTTTAGCCAAACTAGGTTAATGTATCAATGGAACTTATCTTACCTGTAAAAGAAGGTGGTGAGTTTGTGGCAGATGTTGGAAATGACTAATGTGTGTGCTTGTAGCAACATGTTAATCACAAAGGAATTGTTGGTAATTACTTGGGGAAATGGTTTCAAAACATTTCTGAATATGTAGGATTGAGACTGTACACTCCTACCTTAATGAATCCCTACAAGAAGTCATCTAGCAAAGTTTGGAGACCTTCATGCTCTTAAGATTCTTCCTTATGATGTTATCCAAAGAATTTGCTGAGCACATCTGTTTTTGACCTTAACCCTTTCGGGGTTTCGGCTGTACTAGTACGGCTTATGCGCCAGGGTTTTTGACGTACTAGTACGCATAAATTCTAGCGCCCTCAAATCAAGCAAGAGAAAGCTGGTAGGCCTACATATGAAAGAATGGGTCTATGTGGTCAGTGTGCACAGAATAAAAAAATCCTGCAGCACACAGTGCGTACTGAGAAAAAAAAAACTTTGACCTTTTTTTTTGGTTTAAAACAGCGACTTTGCACCATATTTTCGTATGGTATTTATTGTTGTATTCTAGTTTTCCTGGTCTCATTGTATAGAATGGAAGACATATTACAGAAATTGAGATGATTTTGACTGGTTTTACAATGAAAAGTACCTTGAAATTGAGCTCAAAGTAGCAGAAATGTTCGATTTTTACCAAAGTTCAAAAGTAAACAAATCATGCCAAGCGTCCAATACACATCAACTGGTGAGTCTAATATTCTTTCACAAGTGCGCCAATATTATTTATACCATTTCTACACTAATGCAGTAGTCTGCATAACAGGAAATCTTATTATTTTTGTGAGAATAAAAATTCAAAGTGGAAAGCAAAAGAAATGTAAGAGGGGCGTGGGGACGTGACTAATGAACAGAGGAAATGTTATTTTAGTGCCAGGAATGTCTTTCTTGTTTATTCTGGACCCTATTTGGAAATTGGCATTTTTTGAAATCTGTGTGAAATTGGCAAAATTGCTAAATTCTGACCACTTTATTGGATAGTTGAAATAGGTAAATGGGTGATTTCTTGTACTCATTCGATAGAAAAACGGAGTTATAGTGAAATAGTTATGATTTTTGTCGACTAGTACACTGAAATTGGCCGAAAATAGGGCTCAAAGTGGGCAAAGTCGCTGATGCGTAAACATCGTCGAGACTGCTAACTTTGCGAGAGCATAATTCCGTAAGTTTTCCATCAAATTTCATACTTTTGGTGTCATTATGATTGGAAAAAGATTCTCTATTTTTTCATAAGAATTTTTTTTTTTTTTTTTTTTTTTTTTTTTTTTTTTTTTTTTTTTTTTTTTTTTTAAATTTTGGCGACCCTGAGAACAAGTCCCTGAGAGGGCCTGGCGACCCTCAAAGGGTATTAAGAGTACAAGTGGTTGCTCTTTCTTTCTGTAACTGTGATTCATGTTTATCCATCTTTAGCATGGCAACAAACTGATGAATAATAATTTGGATACAAAAGGAGGGACCAACAATATGCGGACACCATCAAACACCAGTCTTCTGTGTACAACAATATGCTGACACCATCAAACACCAGTCTTCTGTGTACATTGAGTTTTCTTGGAAAATATACAGGATTTTCTTCATTCTAAATCCATGAATGTTAACTTCATCAAAACTATTCAGATGAAAAAAGAAACTTCATCTAAGAAAAAGATTATATCCAGCATTCCTTGCTTGCTCTGAAAAAACTGTTTAAACCAGGAAGAGTATTGCATTCTTTTCGGTATTATTAAGAATAAACTTATTGATATTGATTGGAAGTGTAGACTAATGCAGTACCGTAGGATAATGGCCATTTTTTTTGACATTCTTGAAAGAAATTTTCTTGATTGTGATAATTGCTGATGCACGTCATGAAGTGTCGCAGTCCAGCACGGACTATAACAGCATTTAAAATTTCCATTACAAACCACAGAATTGGTGGGGATTGAACCCATGGTGGCAAGCGAGTCGTAAAACTCCAGGCCAATGTGTAAGCCACTATGCTGAGTGGCTTATGCACTGCCATGGAATTATAGGACTCACTTACCATGAGTTCAACCCCTACCCATTCCGTGGTTTGTTTGCACTCGTGTTATTACGGTTTCCATCCCAAATTGTAGGCTAATGCTTGAATCTGTGGAGTGGTATATTTCTTAGTTTTGGTCAAAGTCCTCTCTCGTTTATGGCACTCCAACACTTGTCATTAAACCATTCCTTATTGTTTTGTATAATTTGCTCATTTTATTAACACATTGGCCGTTTACCACCAAGGCAGGGTGGCACAAAAAAGAAAAACTTTCATCATCATTCACTCCATCACTGTCTTGCCAGAGGCATGATTACACTACAGTTACAAAACTGCAGCAGTAACACCCCTTCTTCAGAGTGCAGGCACTGTACTTCCTATCTCCAGGACTCAAGGTTTCCCTGAACCCCTTCATAAATGTTACCTTGCTAACACTCCAAGAGCATGTCAAGTCCTAAAAATCATGTCTCCATTTGCTCCTATCTAACATGCTCACGCATGCTTGCTGGAAGTCCAAGCCTCTCGCACACGAAACCTCCTCTACCCTCGCCTTCCAACCTTTCCTAGGCCAACCCCTACCCCACCTTCCCTCCACTACAGATTTATACAATCTCAGTCATTGTATTTTGTTCCACCCTCTCTATATGTCCGAACCATCTCAGTAATCCCTCCTCAGCCCTCTGGATAATAGTTTTGGTAATCCCGCACCTCCTCCTAATCTCCAAACTATGGATTCTCTGCATTATATTCACACCACACATTGCCCTCAGACATGACATCTCCACTGCCTCCAGCCTTCTCCTTGTTGCAACATTCACCACCCATG